AACAATGAAGTATATTTTCATAATTCATTTTGGCATAAAATTAATCTAGAAAGAAAAATGTCTAAACAGCAGGGATAGAAACACTAATTTTGAAATTTAACAACACTTTCATTTTATTTTTTAATGAATGAATTAACATCAAATCCTGTTACTGAATAATCAGAACAAGTTCTTTCATGGAAGGTATGGGTAAGCAAGTGTGTACACCATATGTACTGTATTTCCTATGAACATTCTAACTTTTGGTTTGCTTATAAAGGACAGTAGAGAGAGATGTCATCTTTGTGTATCATTTACATTTTCTTCACCTGGGCTCCCAAAACACAAACATTCAGAAGACGACCACAAATAAATTTGTTCTTGACACCTTAAAATACCTTTTCACTGAAGTCTACAGTAAATTTCTACACACATACTATAAAGATCCAACTATCTACAGCCAGCCAAATATGGAATCATCAGAAATTTTCAAGAGAGAGAGAAAAGAGAATTATTGGTATACAAAATATATAATAATTCCACTTTATTATCAAGACATTTCACTATAATGGATACCCTAAACAGTTCTTCAAATATGCATTTGAAACAAGACTTCTATGTGTGAAATGACAGATGAAGCTGTCTTTGTCAACTGACTATCATTTGTACTACATCTAAGCCACTAAAACCCAGATGGATTTGCAGTAAATTTATAATTTATATTCTGAAGAATTTACTCACAGGTGATAAATAAATTAGCAACCCAAAAGAAAAAGTAGAAAAACAACAAAAAAGGTCTACAGTGACCTCTGTAACTATGAAGAAAACTACCTGGAGAAACATGAAAATATATTTAACTCTCTCCACACAGCCTCATAACCACTTTTTACTTGTTATGGTTTCTATGCTGTAACTTTTAATATAGTATGTTCATAAAATTTGGCAGACTTTAGTAAATCATGGAAATGTTTTGTACATGAAAAATCAGATTTTTTAATGAAGGATTTTTACTGAAGATTTGTCCATCAGTATTTCAGATCTTTTTTTTAACGAGTCTGATTGCAATGATATAAGTAATAATAATAAAGTTATTCAATAAAAGTTTGAAAATAACTCCAAATTGCCATGACATGTGCATTTTAACCTGCCTGGGGTAAAAGGGTTAAAAGAGACTGAAAAAAATAGGTGGGTGCTACAATTATTTTAGCATTAAAAAAATTAGTCAGTCAACTCTCTTTCAAAATAAGATACAAGACTTATGCAAGAAATACAACATTTTGGATAATATATTAGATAATGATTAACACTAGAAAATTTGAAAAAGCTCTCAGAATAAATATCCGTAAGCCAAACATCAACTGAGAAGAAAGTCTGGAAAACAGCACTTATGAAATAAATCAACTATTCAAATAGCCAATCAAGTGTAAGCAATGTTTGAGCTCCTCACCAATAATACTACTGGTATTTTATATCAGAAACTATCTTAACTTCACTCTCTCAGACACAATGAAAACTCAGAATGAAGCCCAAAACTGTCTTAAAAACAAACTAAAAAATCCATAGAAAAGTCCACAAATCAAGACATTTATTCAGTGTCAAAAATAATGTATTTTACAATTCATGTTATCAATTACAAATTATAGAAATACAGAAATCCAAAATGGTTTTGGATTAACTGGAAATGACACCAATAAAAACCCACTAACTCATCCTCACAAGACAGAGAAAGAACCAAGATCTTTATAATGAATTCATTTCTAAGCTAACCAATTTAGTCTCCAAGGTCAGACCATTAATGAAAATTTAAGCACTAGCAAAAAACATGGTTAATACATTAACATTTCTGAAGCAAGACTAGAAACAAGAAATAACTGACAAGTTGCATACTCCTAGCAGATATAACTAATCAATTCATGTGAATTTACAAGAAGCATCACACTTTTTATTTCATACTTTTTGAAGTACTATCAAATTTTTACTATGTTTGTGTTAAGAATTGCATTTCCTAATATGAAAGGAAAAACATGAAACACCACTAGAACCTGCTGTTTTCACTTGTTATTTCAAACTTGGGGAAATCATACAGACAGATCGATGCACAACAAACTATCAGAAAAGGTTTTCCAATATTGCATCATAGTGTGGTTTTCCAATAAATGTTGTGCTTCCAGTTGGATTTTTATTTTTTTTATAATATTGACCATTTTTTCATCTGTACTGAATATTCATAATTATGCCTGGATTATCAACTAACAAAAAGGTGCTAGTGTCCCTTCAGGTTCACTGATAAAACACTAGAATCCATTGATTTTTTGCCAGCTAACCATTGTTAATTTTGAGCCTGTATAGAAATGCTTAAAACCTTTCACAAATAAAAATTAATGTTTTTATACATCCTTCCAGGCAAACTCACCAAAATATACTACTACACAAAAAAGTAAAATGAAAAAACAGCAACAGAAGATAAATTTTCATATCATTTTCCACATAGCTACTTGCAAATGAAGTAGCTATGTGAAAAATAATAGAATGAACTACACAGCATCTAGTATAAAGAATCACAAATAGATCCAATTTACAATCTCTTTCACATCTTATAAACTGAACTTGCAATATAATTTTTCTAACCTGTTTTAAATGTTTTAAACTAAAACAAATTGTTCAAAGAAAAAAAAAGCATTTCCACTTGTTTTTAATACCTTAGTGCAATATTCTGCAAAGTAGAATTTAACAAGGGGCTATTCAATAGAACTTATTTTACATCAAGTTAATTGAAAATATCTCTTGATATGCTTAGTCAAATGAAGTCTTCTGACCAGATGTCGGTATATAGTGAAGCTGTGAAAACCAACATTTTGGAAACTGTGTGTGTGTGATTTTAACCAATAATGATAAAAACCAATGAATTTTTGTTTTTTTTTACACCACAATTCTAACACAATTTTTCACATAACCAAACTGTAAAACTATTACAAAGAAAGTTTTTTCATGTATTACCTTGATAACTGCATGAGAGTATTCTTAAACAATATGTTATAAGAATGATTAGTTTGGTTTTCATTCTTCAATAAACAATGTTCGCAAAGATAAACATTAATATTACTGATCATATACTAAACTTTTTTGGTAGGAAAGTTAAGTTTATGATAAAAGCCTACCACCACATTCCCATGTACTCTGGGCGCAATGCCCCGCGCCTCACCAACACAAAGGTGAGAGTTTCCGGATTTCAGTCTTTACACCTGGATACTAAGAAGAGAAAAATTGCATAGAATTTTTTAAACAAAAAAAGGGGAGAAGAAAGGCATTTTAACCCCAATTTAATATGAAATCACATTTATATTAACAGCAGTGTTGTAACCCACAGAGATAAGAAGTATCACTCACAATCACCATCTAATACCAAACATCCATAACATTTCACACCCCCTTCTTTCCAACCAAAAGCATCTTTTCATATGAATTTTTCATTCTACAATTCATTGCAATTACACCTTTTATTCTACAAGTTTGAACACCAGTCAGAATTTGTTTCACTCTTCACATTCATTCCTTACTCTCATGAAATTTCAAGTACATTCAACAACACTGCTGTTATTCATTTGGTATGAAAATATTTGAAAAAAATTTTTCACAAGTCATTCTTCACTTAATATAACAAAACAACCTAGGGTGGCATATCTTGCTTAGATGAGTTAAAGTAATAATTCATGGAACTAAACATAACCAGATTCATTCTCAAAAATAAAATGTCTCAATTTGCTTCCAAAATAAATTTTTATAAATATCCATTTTCTTTACAGTATAGAAATCTGCATCTTACAGCCAACCTAGGTTTAATACAAAAATATAATTTATAAGAACAAGCTGTCAGAATGTTTATACATGCACACACAATCTTTTTAATTATTAAATCAAGTCTGAACAAAGAGAAATTTGACAGTTACAAAAAAGGAAAACATTTTCTCTTCAGACCAAATAAAAATCTGTTTTTTTTTTATCTTTAAATTTCTCTTTAAATTATACTATTTAAACATTAAAATATGTATTATCTCAACAATTCCAAAAATAAATGTTGGTTGTACTTTGCTTGTACATTTTGTTTTTTCAAAATTTAAGCATAAAAAAAAGTGTAACCCCTTATACAGATTATGTACAACAAATTAATTTTAAGGGTTTCCCAAAACTTTTTACATCTGAAACTGAAGTTGGGCTCACTATTGAAACGTTATAAATTATACGTTTTAGCTACGAGTTTAAAAAACTGTTACATGTACTACCATGTTTATAGGTGCAAAGGAACCTTGAAAAATAATACACACACATGAACAGTCATGGTTTAGATGTTACTGTAATGCTATTGGCCAATATGCTTGGTACATATTTAAGAATTTACAATTAAAACATTAAGTGCTAAGAGGGTGTGGAAGTGCTATAATTTACACTACAATAAAGACACTATTTTCCATCAATTTGTAAGACCAAAAAATAGAACAATTGTGTGCAACAAACAAATGCTCTTTGACTGAATACTTTTTTCCCTACATATTCCTCTCATCTTGTTCATTTTGTAACAACAACAACAAAAAAAAAGCCTGTCAAACTTCTCTTTGTTCATAAATAGTTCAGAACCAGCCCAGTTAGCCTGTGTGACTTTTTAATATCTAGCCTCTAATCTTTGGGAATTATTGAAGTTTGAATGTTTAATTATGCAGACTATATGTACACATATGTATGTCAATGTATTTATATAAATGATTCAAAAATTGCTGTAATATTCATTGATGCACAGACAACAGGCTAACTCCTTCTCTCCAGTGCCAAGGATTAACATATAATGTACTACAGGTGCTGAAACCTTTTTCCAAAAACATTTGAATTGCATGTTACTATATAATTAAGTTAGTTTTTACTTGTTACTTCACATTCCCTTGGAACTGGTTATTTCTGTGTTCCTTAGCACTGGTGTGAATAGGCTGGTTGATAAACCCACTCCTTGTATGATTAAAGAAGACACCTACCTTTCAAGTTGGGCAAATAAGTGAACGGATGAGGTTTACTTGTCTTACCCCCACTGTAAACTAGCAGCTGCACATTCACTGGCTCAATGATGTCCAGATCTCTGTATGGAGGTACTCTACATACAAGGTGTGTCTAAATGATGGAGGAATTTCCTTTTTAAATTTCAATGTATAATATTAAATCATATCTCATTGACACCTGATGTTTTCCTAAACAGTGTTGCTTCCTCCATGAACTGTAGTTGGTGCAAGCACTTCTACTATGCTTAGAAGAAAAAGGTAGCTTTTACTAAGCTTAGCAAGTTTCACTTAAATGGAACTTTTCTGATTATGTACTATATCAAAGATTTTTTAAACAATGATGACAAAAATACAAACACATTTAATTTTGTACTTTTGTACAATAACATGTTAAAGAGTTATGTAATTTATCTTTCATCATTAAGTAGCATTATACATACTTCAGTATAAGAACAATAACCTATTTCTAAAGATTTCTGTTTAACCTATATCACATGTTTGTTTTAATCAAAAGTGTATAAAATCCATAAAGATATTGCTCTTACTAATGTTAAGACATCCCTAACATGGTGCTTGTATAAATAATCATGCACATATACTTGTGTACATGTGTATGTGTAAAATATGCAAAATCAAGGCTAAGACATACCGGTTGAAGGTACTCTTTATCTGGATCTATTGCTTTCTCCCAAATAATTTTTTCAAACTCCTCATCCTCAGAGTTATCTGAAACAAGTATATAATACACACTAATCAAACAATCAGTGTTTTGTAAGCCAGATATTTTAATGTATGATCCTGTGCAGTAATGCAATATTAAAATTTCTCAGAACAGTAGAATTCATAGCAAAGAAAGGAAAGATTGACGTAACACATATAACTGATATCATCAAAAATTATAAGCACAGGTAAATACAAATATTTCAAATTACCTCTAAAAATACTTTATTGTTTATAAAAAGTCAAATTTCACCTCTCTTATATCATGTTATCAATAAACAGAAAACAAGCACACTTGGTCTTTATTCTTCGTAGTGAAATGGTAATATTTTCTAAATAAGTTTGGCAACCCCTCTTGAAGAACTTAATTATTTTTTAAATCAGAGAGCAACAAAACTGTACTATCCCTCTTGCTAAAGGTAGGTCAGTGTGTGTATATGTCACAACCTTTTAAAAGAATCATGACATTTGTTTTCCAAGTCTTCCCTCTTTTCTAATATATTAATCACTTCTCTTTGAAGTATGGAGTTTAACACACATTCCTCATTATAATACAGATATTATTAGAGCAGAATCTAATTTTTATAGCTTTCAATCTTAGTTGTTTACAGATTCATAAATTAGAAAATCAAACACACTTACCTCATCCTCTCATTTACAAATAGCCAATAATTTTTTCAGACATTTTATATTACACCGTTTATAACCGACAGAAAGACCAAGTTTTAATCTTATTGAATGACAAATAATGTTATGTTGTGTTCAGTACAGAGTATCGTCAATTTTATCTTCAGTCTGAAAGTTTATCTTGTATTTTTCAGATCAAGTAACAAAGGAAATTAATTTAAGCCCTCTTGTCCTAGTTGGAAAGCCAGTTAAATTATATAATGTTTTTTACTTTGTGCATGTTATTATTCTGTGTTCTTAGATGCATTATTTAAGTAATTAAAAATTAATTTAGTGCACTAGTATCATCATTATAAAAAATTTCATCAGAAACCCCCAACAACAACATCAAAACCAACAATAAGAGGTTAAAGTTAAGTATTGTATTTATTTTTCATGTATATTCTTTATTTATGGTTATAAAAGTAATTAAAATATAAAAATTAGAAATTATTAGTTTAGATAACGAAAAATAATAATAAAAGTTATTCACAGAGCATGCTCACAAGCAGCTCATCCATTATGTCATTCAATACAGTAATGTATAGTATAGTACTGTATAGTATTGTTACATTGATCGCAAAGTTCCAAAGAGCGTATAATTCTCACCTTTTTACACTTATTTTCTGTAGTAATTTTATTGTTAGGAGCCGACTTGCAATGAATAGCATTGTCTGTCTTTTATCAGTATGGAACACTAATCTCTAAAGTAAAATTCCTGACAGTTTCTTCTAATCTTTCCACACCTATTTCCTATGTTTATCTACTGTTAGCAGCTGAAGTAGAAACCTGCCAATTATACAGCAATGAATCGCCGCTCCTTACTTACTTTGACACCGTCAATATCACACAATGGAGTAGGATTTACCAACATGCTGACAGTATAATGGTTTCATAATTGTCAAAAGTATTATAAAATGTTTATGTTATGACTTTGTAGAGAGTCTGCAGGCTGATCCAATAAGTCAGTAAGTGGATGTATCCTACAGAAACTATTCAAATTCTAGCTCTGAAGACACAGTATAGTAAAATTGTCTAAAGTACTTTATAAAAGTGAAAGAAAATATTTATGATATGGCTCTGTACAAAGTTGTATCCGACTCAATAAACTTAAGTATTTGGATGCTAGTTATCTTCCTGGATGGTCGGAATTTAGTGTTGGTATAGGGATAAATGTGTGTGTAAGTGCTTATGAACATCCTGTTTCCTATATTACCATGCTTACAAAGTAACCAATAAATGTTTCCAATAATATAGATACAGGTTGTTTTGATTGGGCTAGTATTCTTGATTGAGACTTCTTGATTGTAACTTTAAATACAAATTATTTAGCAGCAAACTGCAAGCAAATAAACTTGGCTACCATACATTAAATATATATATATATATATATATATATATGTCATTATTAATATTATTTTTAAATAAATACTTAAATGTTAGTTATCTTTCTTCAAACATAGAACAGTAAATAAAAAATATTTGGAAAACAATGATCTCTATTACTTATGATGCTACGAAGTCCTTGTTTGCACTTGCTAAGCCTCGTAAAAATTCACATGTGGAGATGGAAAAATAATAATTTTTCTAGACTATATATACGCATTTTGGAATACAAAAGAACATAAATTACTATACTGATAACCAAAAAATCCATTGTAATTTATCAGACTTCATAGCTAAATTGTATTTGGGTCTAAAATAATATAATTTCTATTCACAAAATAGCCTTGATCATAATACTTTAAACTTTCCAATGATATATAAGCTTTACTCTCATAAATAACTTAGGAAGAGTGACAGAACTATATAAAAGAAATGTATAGCTTTTGATTGGTAATAAAGTTATTGGTATATAAAAGTAGGTGAAGATAAAAAAGTCTTCTCAAACAATGAAGTGGTGGGTGGAGCCATATGGTGTATTCACTAAATATCATGATATCTCAGCAAATGGAAAAGGTAGGAGATTCTTATTTTATATTCTAGCTTGCCAATATTGGACGTTTGAGTTTCTAATTTGTACAAAACTATAGATGTTGTATTGTTGGCATCATAAAATGTAATCCGACCAAACCTAGAAGGCCACAAACCATGTGACACACAAAAACCGATACTTAGCTTTTTTTTATATTTACTTTCAAATAAAGAAACTAATTAATGTATAATACTGGAGTTTAAATTATAATCTACAATCTGATGCCAAACTTATTGAGATACACCTATAAAATAACAGTTATATAAAGTGTTGAACGTAAGTCTACAAATGTGATGACATGCCCTCTGATCCTTACCCATCTTGATAGGGTTAATGGGTAATAAAAAACTATTACAAATGTACAATGTTTCAGCAAGCTTATGTCATCATTAGGTACACTGAAAGCTTGTCATATTCTATGAAGATGCACAAAACATATTAAAATTTATATTATGGGTGCTCTGATAGTCACTTTGTGGTTACAAGGTCAGCTACATCACCTGACTCCATATGGAAGAGTTAAACTTCCCAGTTTGCCCATGAAGAAGAAAGGTCCACCTTTCGAAAATGCTTGAGTTATAGGGTTTTTATTCATTTCTATCAAGACTTCTTGAACCTATGTGTTTTTCTAACATCAAGAAAGTCAATTTGACACTCTCTAGTGAATAGCTTTAAAAATTATTAATACCAGTTGCCTAGTTTACTTGCAAAATTGTGTACAGAAGATATAAACTATGTAAAAATGGAAGAAAAAGCTTATAATAGCAGATAGTAAGCTAGTGTTTTAATTTGTTCTTCACACACACACACACAACCAAATTGAATTCAAAATAAAATGTATCCCTTTTGTTTTCATGCAACTTCTTTTTATTAGAATGCTGAAAATAGATATTAACTCTCTCACTACAGGCTTGGCTGATTCAACTGAGTTTGTGACCCCAAAGTGATCATCATAAATTTCATACTATAACTTTTAATATGTTTTGTGTTATCTTCATAAAATTTCACAAGCTTTCAGTAAACATTACAATTCTTTTGTATACAGAAAATCAGATTTTCTATTTATGTATTTTTACTAAATATTCTCCATGGATATATATAAAAGTGTCAAAGTGTTGACTGCCGCCCTGAGTGCAAAGTGAATTTCATGTTAAGGTTAAAAATACTTTTCATCTGAAAATTGTCATATTTCATTCATGTGATCTGTAAAACTTTCTAAATAAGCATCAAACTTTTTTCAGTTTCCCTACCCTAATTCCATACACATTGGTCAACTTGATTGACCTTATAACAACCATGAAAAAATATAAAATAAATCTAAATTACCCCTTTTTTCTGTCTAGAATGACTGCAAATTGTAACAGAAAACTACAATTGTTTACCTACTGTAAACTGCGTAACTCTCTCAATATGGGCTCAGTCAATTTCACTGATCTTTTTGTACTCGTCTTTATAAATTTAATACTTATAACTCTCAATATAGTGTGTATCTTCAAGAAGTCTGGCAGTCTTTCAGTTAATATTACAAGTCTTTCACATACAAAAAATCATATTTTTAGTGAAGTATTT